ACTTACCACTCTGGTCATCCAGTAGGTAGTACTGCTTTAGCAGCTGCCAGTGCACCAGCAGGCTCTTGGGGGTGCGAGATGGGTGAAAGACACCGGGGTGTTTGCACAGAAGCTCCTGGAACACGTCTAGTTTGGGCTGACTAGTCTGTTCAATGACAAATATTATACAGAACCACTGGTGAATACAGCAGATGTCAAATGAGAAAACTCTATGGATATATGACAGGAGCTGGATGGACAAAAACCTGTTCAACAGCATATTTTTTAAATGCATTTCATTCCTAACCATTAAGACTGTTGAATCTAAACTGGTTAGATTATTTGATATTTTATGTTTATTTTACTACAACAGTGAAATAGTAACAGGAACAGTTTCACTTACTGAACCAATCTTAGCCAGCAGTGCCTCCTCAGGCTGACTGAAGAGAGCTTTGCTTTGGATTGCTGCAATGGCCTCTGGGTGAAGCTGACGCATGGCCTGCCATGCCAATCTAAACAGAGAGACCACAGAGATAATTAAACTACCTTTTAAATAGTTGCACTAATGTAGAGAATTAGAGGAGAAAGTGAAGCTGCTGCCGGGTAAGTCTCTTACTTTGAGATGACAGGATCGTAGAGGAGAGCATACCACCTCTCTTTAATTTCCCGCAATGTGAAGCGACAGCTGAACTTCACCCCCAAATGAACAGAGGTCAGATCTGTGGTCTAGAGACAAACACACACTCAAGACATCATACACTGACAAACAGACTGAGCACATTAATTCATGAACGTTATCCATCCTTTAGGACAATGATTTTTACTCTCATACTACTCACCTGCAACACTGCATTTATAAGTAGCAGGTCATCGGCGGGTTTCCACCGTCCCAAGTCTTTAGTGATATGTAGAGGCTGCTTGCTTTTCTTTACCCTTTTAGTGATGGGTGCAGGGTTTACTACCATGTTGAGAGGCAGCGTGAGCGCGGTTCCTGATTTTGTCACCTGACGTCACACAAAGACATAAAACGCCCATTACACCCACGTAAGCTGATCAATCCATGATTATTTACGAGGAACGTTGTTATGTACTTTTTTTTTCTCGCTAGATGACGGTTCACTCCCTGAGCAGCGGACCGGCTCTATGACAGGAGGGCCTTTGACTCTACTGGACGACTTCACCAGACTGCTCTCCACCAGCTCATCGTCAAACTTCTTCCTCTTTATTGACCTGTACAACGGATACAGCAATTCTTTTAACATTGGCAGATGCACCACAGAAAAAGCATTAAAACAAACAACGTGTCTGCATTTACTTGTAAAGCCAACAAAAGACACGGATCAGTATACTGCTGGAATAATGCGACAAACAACAGGAAGACTCAAACCTGGAGGAACTCCTGCGTTTGGGAACACCAGTGCCAAACGCTTGTGTGGCCGTCCTTTTCACATCTTTTACTCCGAGTGACTCCTCGTCCTCCGACCGACTCTGAGCACCAGCGACCGCCATCGGTGCACCAACCACAGGGTCCCCAGCTTGCATCTGTTCAGTCACAACATGAAACAGAGAGAATATGACTCGTATGATAATCATATGATATGATAATGTATCATAATATATTAATATATATCATAATTTTTTAAATATAGACAATATATCATATGATAATATGAATCATCCTGTCTGTGGCTCATGTTATGAACCTTTCACTTCACAAGAGCTGCAGTGTCCATGAAGCTTTATCTCCTTCCAGGTTGCACACAAGTATTACAATCCGAGTCCAGTTGAACACGATTAGAAAGAGGTTGTGTTATTACAGGTCCAGCTCCAACAGCGAGAAACAAAACATCTCAATTATAACTCGACATACGGATGAGGTCTCAAATGAAACTACTTAATCCACGATGTTACTTTCATGTTCTAGTATCTGTTAGTTTGTTTATGAGACTGCGGACTGGATGATCAACTGAGCGATGCCTTTGTTTACATACGATGTTAGCCTAATGGCAGCTCACGTTGCCTTCGACATGTAACATTTAGTGTGAAAATAACAACAGTGGTGAGCGAGATAATCACCCCAGACAACACTACACCACAGTCTGTTTGTTTAGCCGACATATTGTGATCTAAATAACGCTGGTTTGTGTTGGCTAGTTAGCATTACCTGAGCTAACACAACGTCCTAACGCCGCCGTTAGCTCATTGTGTGCTAACACAGTTAGCTGTGCTGTGTTGTGACTCACCTTGCCTCGATATTTCCCTTCGTCTTGGTATCTGGTCAGTGACCTGGAGCCTGTGTCGCTTACTTATGCCTTTAATAAACACCTCGTCCGCTAGCTACATGGCTAACGGGCTACATGAGTTTGACGTCTGCCTGTTAGCACAGTGTTAGCATTAGCTTCTTCTCTGGTCGCCTGTTTTCTTCCGTTGAAGTTTTAATCGCTTCACGGAGCAGCAGCGCCGCCGCCTGGACACATGTACAGCTACAGCTACAGCTACAACAAAATATAAATATAAAACTATATATTATAAAATAAAATATAAAAGTTCAATTAAAGTTAATAAGTGCAAGAAGTGCAAAAAGTGAAGGGGGGTGTGCTCTCTGGGGAGGTTATAGAGTTAATGACCACAAGCAGGAATGATCCTGTGGCGCTCGTGGTGGTCATCTGGGTGAGATGAGTTTCTGCTGAAGAGCCTCTGCTGGGCCAGTGTGTCGTAGAGAGGTATGAGAATTATCCAGTAGACGAAGCTGGACGTATCCGCCTCCTGACATTGTCAGAGTTCCAGTCCTCCCCCGAATCTGCTGCCCTCATGACTTTTGTTTGTTGTTGGTGTCTGCGACTTATCGCCACTGCCCAGCAATTGACAGAAGAATGATCGATGGCCACACAGATCTACTAAACATCCTAAAACATCATCCGGCAGATGTTAAAGGACTCAGCCCTAGAAAGCACTGTGTTCTTGTCCAGTCCAGCTATTATTAAGTACCCAAGGAACTGTATTCCTCAACAATGCCACATGGCCCTTGGATGAAACAGGGGCACCTGGTGTTTCGCCTCTCGACAACTATAAGGCTCCTTGTCTTTGTCACGTTGAGCTGCAGATGGTTCAGCTCATCCAATGAACAAGGTTGCCACAAAGTCCGTTTTCACTCTCCTTCACCCTTTCAATGAGCCAACTATTGCTAGCATCTGAAAACGTCTGAGGTTGGCATAGTTGCAGTCTGAGTGAGAGGGGAGAGGAAGGGGAGAGGCAGTCCCTGTGGGGCACCAGTGTTGCTGACCCCCGTCAGACACACAGTTCTGTAGGCGTACGTACTGTGGTCTGCCATCCAGTTAGTAAACAACCGGACCACGATGGGGCCTCCACCGCATCCCATCATCTTCTCACCCATGAGAGCCAGACAGTGGTGTTAAAAAAGCACTGGAGAGTCAAAACATACTTTCACAGTGCTCGCCGCTTGTCAGAGAGTGTAGGACTCTGTCAGAAGGTAGTGAGCCGTCTCAATCCCAGGCGGGGCGGTAAGGTGAATGGTAGTGTATCGAAGGGCTGACCATAGCTTAGCTGCTCCAGAGACCTCTCCAGATCTTCATGATGTGGAACGTCAGCCACCGGCGTAGTCCGAGGCGCTGGGAGCTGCGTCTTTGCACAGGAACAGGGCAGACTCTTCCACAAACGGGACCCTCTGAGTGCGGCTCAGGCTGAGACATGACTCAGACCCAACACAGCTGGGGGGCACAGGCTTTAACACTCTGGGAAAACACGTCGGGCCTGCGCTTGTCGGAGGATCTCGTCAGTGTTTCTCCCAGTCAGTGGAAGACACTGTAGAGGTGCAGATTAACCTTATGATGTAATATTAGGATACATAAGATGATCCCCGTGACCTGGCGTATATATAGAGCTCCACCTTACCAGCTGAACATAAAGTCATTTATGTTAAAACTTAGGACTTATAGAGCATTTTATTCGTAACAATCTCTTATTTTACTTCTATGCTATATATTGACATATATATTTTAATAGAATGCAATTGACATTGTCATTATAATCTATGCTTCCTTAAAGTCGTGTTTAGCAACTTACAGCTGTAACCAACACGATTCGGTTGTGGTGTGGGATGTGTAGCTGTAGCTGAGATGTAGGTAATCTGTAGATGTAGATGTAGTAGTGAGTAAATGTAGCTGAATAGATGTAGCTTAGATTAGATGTAGAGCTGTAGTAGCTTGAGTAGTGTAGCTTAGTAGATGTATATGAGCAGTAGTGTAGCTGTAGCTGTAGATGGTAGCGTAGCTGTAGCTGTGATGTAGTGTGAGTAGATGTGCTAAGTGTAGAT